GGACAGAGGCCCCCTCCCCCGCCTTCTATCTTCCTGAATATCACCTCGGATTCACTTCTCCACATGTCCTACCTTCCAGAAAGTGGTCGCTTTTCTGCTCAGAAAGTTGCTGCTATTCTTTTCTTTGATCTCCTGTTGAGTTCATAGGTGTTCAGAATGGTTTGATCCCTATCTAGCTGAATTCCTGGGACCAGACGAAATTAGGTCTCCTACTCCTCTGCCATCTTGCTCCTCCCTCTTAAATGCATTCTTAAAAAAGCAGAAGTTTTTAGTTTTGATGAAGTCCATTTAAGCATTTTTTTCTTTTTATGGTTTGTGTTTTTTATGACATTAACTTTATGAGGAAGCCTGGGCCAAACAGTGGTATTTCCCAAAATAAGAAAATCAAGGCCAAGAAAGTCAAAGTGACTTGGCTCAGATCACAGCAACTTTTGCTGGTAGACCTGGATATACTGCAGAAATCTTCAGGTTTGAATCCTAAGTGGTACTGGGCTGATTTTCTCCACCTTTCTCCTTTCTTCCCTCCAACTCTTAGTCCAAAGACCAGCCAGATTATGGAATGTATTCCCGGATCTCCTCATCCCCCACCCACAGCCTCTATGTCTTTGTGAGGAACTTTGTGTGCCGAATTGGAGAAGATGCTGAGCTCTTCATGTCTCTCTATGACCCCAACAAGCAAATGGTCATAAGGTAGGTTTGTTCAATATTGCCTGACTTTTCTGTATATGAGAGGTTGGAATTAGCAGAGCACATAGCATCTTTTTTATTCCCATGATCACTTGTGGAGAAATTCCCACCTGGAAGAGAAACTGAGCCTGAAAATGTGGAAAATGTGGAAATAACTTCTTGCAGGATATGCGAGTCAGGTAGAAATATTATTTACCCCCAAATTTTTCCCGTACTGTGCTTATGGTTACACAGTAGGGTTTTATAAATAGGTTTTTGATACTGGAAAACAACCAGAAAAAATGATATTCATACAGGTGGTGTTGGATAGACTAAAAATACCTACTTTTAAAATAGGAGGTGGGTAGGCGGGGAATGGGTGAAATAGGTGATGGCGTTGGGGATAAAGGAGTGCACTTGTCATTTTGAGCACAGAGTGATTTATGGAAGTGTTGAATCACTCTAGTGTACACCTGAAACTAATGTAACACTGTATGTTAATTAACTGAAATTAAAATAAAAATTTAAGTAAAAAATAAAAACAAAGCAAAACAAAATAAACAAATAAAATGGGAATAAAGAAGTAAATGGTGGGGGTGCCTGGGTGGCTCAGTCAGTTAAGCATCTGCCTTCAGCTCAGGTCATAATCCCAGGGTCCTGGGACGATTCCCCCATCGGCCTCCCTGCTCAGCTGGGAGCCTGCTTCTCCTTCTGCCTGCCACTCCCCCTGCTTGTGCTTGCTCTCTCTCTCTGTCAGTCAAATAAATAAATAAAATCTTAAAAAAAAAGGATGTAAATGGTGAGAGCTTCATTTCCTCCAGGGTGATAGTAGGCTAAGAATGTGGGCTCTGAAATCTGCCTGAGTTCATATTCTGGCTGCACCATTTACTCTTTCTTAACCTAGGGCAAGTAGCTCATCTTTCTAAGCCTGAGTTGCCCATTTGCAAAATGTTAGTGCCAACCTCACAGGGTCATTTTTTTCTCAGACTTTAATGAGAAAAAGCACATGAAGCACAGGGCTTGACACACAGAGCTCCAAGTGGCAGTAGCTATTATTATTACCACTTTAATGGATTGCTCTTGAGAATGGAGAAAGTAAGGGAACTTCTGGGTGCCTCAGCTTGAGGAAGCGAGAACACCTTTTTGAGAATCTCCAGGGAAAAGACTTTGGTACACCTCCAGCCCCGACTACTGGGCCCCTGGCCTCTGCTTGTGGCTCAGACCATTGTCCCAGGTGGTGACCCTGCCGGTCTCCTCCAGTGGGGTTTTGGGCCAACACATGTTCGCATATTGAGGTCCCATATTTGAAGTCCCAGTTGACATGGTAGAATGCAGCTGGAGTATAATCTCTGCCTTTATGGAGAAAGTGTTGTTTCCCTAGCTTGGTTGTTATGATGATTAAATGAGATCACATACAGCGCCTAGTGAATAGTAGTACTTTGGAAAATAATGGCTCTCCTAGAGACATTTGTGAAACATGGAGGGGCTTTCCATCTAAGAAGACTGAACTGAGGTCTGTGCATGATCTCATTTAATTCTCTTTTTTTTAAGATTTTTTATTTATTCGACAGAGAGAGACACAGTGAGAGCGGGAACATAAGCGGGGGGAGTGGGAGAGGGAGAAGCAGGCTTCCTGTGGAGCAGGGAGCCCGATGCGGGGCTTGATTCCAGGACCCTGGGATCATGACCTGAGTCAAAGGCAGACACTTAATTACTGAGCCATCCAGGCACCCCGATCTCATTTAATTCTCATTAGTCCACGTCATTTGGGTGAGAAAATGAGGTCCAGGAAGGTCAAGTGACTGGTCCAAAGTCATATGTATTTATTAATGGCAGAGCTAAGATTTCTATTCAGGTCCATCTATCTGATTCCAGATAGACAAGCTAATACCCACTTTATTTTTTTTAAAGATTTATTTATTTTAGAGAGAGAGAGAGCACGAGTGGGAGGGGCAGAGGGAGAAGGAGAGAGAATCTCAAGCGAACTCTGCGCTGAGCATGGAACCTGATGCAGGGCTCGATCTCATGACCCTGAGATCACAACCTGAGCTGAAACCAAGAGTTGGATGCTTAACCGACTGTGCCACCCAGGTGCCCCTAGTTCCCACTTCTGTATGTCACCAAGGAAAGAGTTATATCGAATATCCTGAGTGGTTCTCATCAGGGTTTCAGCACTGTCATGGTGGACAGCTATTCTTTATAGCAAACCTAAATCCCTAATATTTAAAAGTCAGCCCAATTCACCGGGCTGGGCCTCAGTGAACACTGCAGGTGAGTGTTCCTGCTTCCTTAGAACACACTTGAAATGGTCTGTGTGCCATAGGCCCCTTGCCATTCCCTGCCAGCTATTCCCAAGGTACCTGTGACAAAGACCCTGAAAGCTCTCACAGGACCGGTCCTGCCTCTCAGAAAACATGATGCTTCATGATTGAGTTGACAGGGGTGCCTGGCCTACTGGCCCATCTAAGTGATGGATGACCTGAACCAGCTCTGTGGAAAGAGGCAATGGATCAGTGACATGGCAGCTCTCTTCCCTGACGTGCCACACCAGATGATATGCTCAATGGGGCATGCCTGAGTGATGCCTCTGAGAGGGCCAGAAATACAGGGAAGCCCTCAGGAAACTGAGAGATGAGGAGGAGGGGGGACGAAGGGGGCAAAAACCAAAAAAAGGGGGGGCAGGGGAAGTAGACAACAGAGAAAGATGAGAAGAGGCATGATACAAGAGAGGGGCAGGGGAAATTGGAAGCACCCCTTTCCACTCTAGATAGCTGTTCTTACCCTAAGAAATCAGTCTTGTCCACTCCTGTCTAGCCAGGGTTGACATACAATGGCAAGTCAAGGCATTCCTTGCCAAAGGCAAGTGAGGGTATTTTCAATGTGGCCCAAATGTGGACTGGGGACATTTGGCTGAGACTGAGCTTTCAATGTTGGGATGAATCATGGACTGATTCCAGTGGATGCCTGAAGAGATTTGGTTTGGGAAGTTTAAGGTAAATTTCCATAGGACCAAAAAGAAGCAGTATAGATGGCCAGTGGCAAGGCTAATTTCCAAAAAAAAGCTCGAAGAGGAGTTGGGATGGTCCTCCCCTTCCACGGAGGAGAATGTCATGTGCAGTAGGTCTCACCTGTCTTGGTGCAGGGTGGGCCCTTGGATTTACCATCCAGGTCTTCCTGGGCAGGGATGGATAGAACCAGGTCAGCCCTCTAAGTTGCTTTTCTTATTTATGATTGCATTGCCCCTAGGAGAAAATTGCTGGTGCCTAATGTTTAGACCTAACAGGCTGGTTCTCTCCTGGGCATGCTACATGTGATCAAAGGTCCTGGGAAAGACCCAGGTATTTCACTATGACATTCTGGAAATAACCGGTGGGAAATAATTGTCTTTTTTTTTTAATGGAGCTTTGGCAGTTTCTTAGTTTGCTGAAAATTCCACTAAAATTTTTGGAACTTATTAAAAAAAAAGAAGAGGGGCACCTAGGTGGCTTGGTCAGTAAAGTGTCCAACTCTTGGTTTTAGCTCAGGTCATGATCTTGGGATTGTGGGGATCAAGTCCCAGGTCAGGTTTTGTACTCAGTACAAAGTCTGCTTTTCTCTCTCCCTCCCCCTCTACCTCTCCTTCAGCATGCATGCGCTCTCTCTCTCTCTCAAATGAATAAATAAAATCTTTTTAAAAAATAAAAGAAATTTTTAAAAAGAAGGAAGAAAAGCTACATTTAACTTTTTTTTTTAAAAAAGATTTATTTCTTTTATTTTAGAGAGACAGTGTGTGTGCATGCAAGCTGGGGGAGGAGCAGAGGGAGACGGAGAGAGAGAATTTTCAAGCAGACTCCCTGTAAGCATGGAGCCCCATGCAGGGCTGTATCCCAGGACCCAGAGATCATGACCTGAGCTGAAATCAAGAGTTGGTCGATTAGCCAACTGAGCCACCCAGGCGCCCCAGAAAAGCTACATTTAACTTGATTTTTTAAATTAATTAATTAATTAATTAATTAATTATTTTGATGTAGTATTCCATGGTTCATTGTTTGCATATAACACCCAGTGCTCCATTCAATATGTGCCCTCTTCAGTACCCATCACCAGGCTAACCCATCCCCCCACCCCCCTCCCCTCTAGAACCCTCAGTTTGTTTTTCAGAGTCCATAGTCTCTCATGGTTTGTCTCCCCCTCTGATTTTCCCCCCTTCATTTTTTCCTTCCTACTATCTTTTTTTTTTTTTTAACATATAATGTATTCTTTGTTTCAGAGGTACAGGTCTGTGATTCATCAGTCTTACACAATTCACAGCGCTCACCATAGTACAACTTGATTGAATTTTAACCAGTGGTTAATCCAGAACTGTGTTCATTTTGTTATCAGTTCCCTTTCCCCTTTGAACTTGCTCAGACTGCTCTCATTAGTCTTCCAGGAGTGAGTAGAGACAGTAACAAGATATTGTTAAGGCAATTCCCCTTAACTTTGATAAATTCTTGTTACGCTTTTTTTGGGGTGACTTGGTTTTTGGGCTTTATTTTATTTTTATCCTAATTCAAGATAATGGGCATTTGTTTAACACCAACTATATATGCTCTTATATGGCATGGCAAATGTTATGACTCAACTCAGCAAACTCTCAAGTTTCTCTTAAGTTAAAGAAACGCTAGACTTCTCAATTTTCCCAGTGTGGCTGGACTGACTAACTAGTATGAACCTCACAAGGTGGTGTATGGTTATTAGAAGATGTAAGATGGTAAATGATTATAGGTCAGAACTGTGTGACTGCCCCTCATAAAATCCTTTAGTGAGTATCCATTCCTTTTAGGATCAAGTCAAAATCCTTGGATGGCCTACAACGCCTCTCTAAGTATTCCCTTATCACTTTCTCCTCGGATCTTTTTTTTAGATGCATCAAGCTCCAGCCTGCCTCAGGGCCTTTGAATGTATGTTTGCTTTTCCTGAAACATTTCCCTTTCTCACTCTCTTTTCCTGACTGACTTTATTTACATGTCATATACCTGGCAAAGACTTCCCTGACCACTCAGACTAGTCCAGACTTTTCTGATATACATTCTTGCAACACCCTGAACTTTGTCTTTATAGCACAATTGAATATAAATAGTTGTCACAACTGCATTTAGATAGTTATTTAAGTGTATTTCAGATAATGGCTAAGGCCGTCTATGGCCCATCACAGTGTGATGTTCCATTCAAGGAAACAGCCCCATGTCCAATGGGTAATTTTTTAAAAATTCAAATCTTTATTTAGTCTTGAAAAGGGAATGAGATGAGAAGGGCAAATGCGTTCTTAACGTCCAGCAAAACATACCAAAATCCTTTCCCCAATCTCTCCCACTCTTAATTCTACAGAGAATGCTGCTACTCTTCAAAAATATTAGGTAGCTGGGCCAGAATTTGCTCAGCAGATGGGGAAGGGAAAGAGACTGTGAATGCACACATTAGTGATTCTTTGCCCCCGGTCTCTGTTAGACAGAACTGTGATCTCTTAGAAGGAGGGATCATGTCTGTCTCTGACACTACCATGCCCCCGGCAGCCAGTACTTGTTGAGCACAGAGTAAAGGCTCAGTGAGTATTTTTACCAAAGCATTGTTGAGCCCCAGGTAGTAACGGGTTGCCACTCTTCTTCCCACAGTGAGAACTACTTGGTGCGATGGGGTAGCAAGGGCTTCCCGAAGGAGATCGAGATGCTCAACAACCTGAAAGTGGTCTTCACGGTGGGTGTGCGCTGTGTTCTTGTTACTGTCTTCCATACTTACAAAGGTATGATCTTGGAATGACACCAGTCACTTGGTTAGGAGGGAGCATGACCTGCATGCAGATTTGTGTTCTGGGCTTTGGAGAGATTCAGAGCAGACGGGGTTTGGGGGGGTGTTGTGTGCCCTTTGGAAGCAATTAGGAAGATGGATCTTCCCCTCTCTAGCTCCCTCCCTCTTTCTCTCTCACTCACATGCACACCAAGAACACATGCAGAGTGCTGTGTAAACAAGCATAGATCCCTTCCAGCAATAATGTCTACATGAACTGGGTATAGCAGCTGTTCTGATTTATCAGTTAATTCATGGTTAACCTGAGTTCCTTTCTTTGGCTCAGACTTTCTAAAAACCTCTATAAAATGTATCAGAAAAAAGAAAAGACCTTCTAAGAACATTGACTGCATTGGTAAATTGGATATTCTGAACATAATCAAATCACAGATGACTAAGGATCTTAACAGATCCCTGAGATCATTCTTCTATATACCAGTATTCACTGGGCAAAACATATGTAGAAATGTTGAAATCAATTGTTAGTTGGACGATTTATTTCCAAAAGTGAGCCTGGCTTTTTAGTTCTGGAAAAGACAAACAGTGGAAAGAAAAAGATAAGGTTATTATTTCCAGCAAAGACCTTTCTCTTGTCCTATTTCCATGAGGGTGTGTTAAGAGTGTGATCTTAAGATACCTAAAGATATTGGTTCTCTGCAAGCTCCTTTGAGGAAAAAGAGCATTTATGAGATTTTTCACTCTGTTGCCTGTGTTAGCAAGGGAAATTACAGAGGAGGAGCCAAGGAGGGATTTGGGCATTGGCCAAACCCGTGAGTTTGATCCAGGAGTGACCGACATGCTAGATTAACCTACGTTGTTCTACAATAACTTTCCAGTTACAGCCCATTAAATGCAATGTCTTATGTTATGTCACAATTAGATTGGAGTGCAGCTGATTTATTTTGTTTGTTATTTCCTGAAAAATGGGCCAGAGGCATGGAATAAGATCATAGTCCTAATTGCTTAGACAAAGTTTTCCTGGCATATATAAATGTGTCTCAGTCCTGTTTATCTATTATTAGTTAGAAGGAGGAGCCTATTTATTTTCTTGATAAATAGGAAAGTCTCATGGGGCTTCCTGATTAAACCAGGAGACAGATATTTCATGAGAGGGACCAGGACAGGGAATCAATCAATGGTTGATTTTGCAGAGAACCAATTCATGATGTAAACATGAAGGAAAAGGCATCAGTAAATTTGTGTCTCTCAATATCAATGAGAACGTGATTCTGCCTGCATGGAATTCTGCCTGTGCCACCACCTCTCCTTCCCATAGCAAATGAACTTGAGAACCTTGGTTGACTGGTTCAATGGGATGATACTTCTCCATCTTGAAATGATGGGAGTCTTCATTTTGGGACAAGGAAGGTCATGGTGCTCTAGCTTCTTTTATTGATTCAAGAGCTATCCAATGAATACTATGGGTAAGCTCTGTGTTAGGTATGGGGGACACAGCATTGAATAAGCTGATAGGCCCTTGCTTTCAAGATGTGATGGGGGGAATTCAGAAAATAAGTAAATGAATAAATAAACAAGAAAATGTTAAAAGGCAATCCACGCAATGCAGATAATTAAAACAGGGTGATATAATGGTGTGTGACTGGGCTTTACTTTCAATTGGGCATTGAGGTGATGTTTAAGTTAGAGACAAGATGAGACTTGGCAGGCATGTGCCTTTCTGGCCTTATTTCTCTTGTCTCTGGATGTTAGCTCTTTCTGGATTCCTCTTTGAGGAACGTGGGTTGGGCCGATGGTGAACTTCCCCTGAATGCTTTATAAGCATTCACCTTCCTTGGCTCTGTTAAGAGGAAAGCAGAGTATACTACCAGTTTCCCAAAGAATTTGCCCAGTTTGGGGGTTATTGCTAATACACAGGAAACAAGACTGAACAGTAAAAGGAGTGCTAATAAATTACTAAATCAGGTGACATGTGTTTTAAGTTTTCTTGTCCTGCCTCAGCTTCCCTAATATGTCTGAGTTTTATAAGGCCAAAGTAAAAATGATTGAGAAACATCACAGATTGGAACACAGTTCTGAGTGAGGATGGCACATTTATACACTCTCCAGAGAATAACTTGTGCTCAAGTATTCTGTAACATGCTAAGATTCTCTAGTGCCAAGAGTCTCTGATGATGAGGCAGCTCTTAAAGATCTGGTGTCTTCCTTTGATCAAATGAAATCTCTTCAGAGAAGAGGGGTGGAAGAGGGGCTTAATTAAGAACCTTGTAGGCTTACCTAGTATGTTAGTTGCCAGGGCTGCCATTACAAAGTGCCACAGTCTGGGTAACTTAAGGAACAGAAATTTATTTTCTCACAGTTCTGGAGGCTGGAAGTCCAAGATCAAGGTGATTGCAGGGTTGGTTTCTTGTGAGGCCTCTCTCCTTGGTTTGCAGATGACCACTTCTCCCTGTGTCCTCGCATGGTCTTCTCTCTGTGTGTGTCTGTGTCCTAATCTCCTCTGCTTATAAGGAGATCGCATAACCTCATTTTAGCTTAATCACCTCTTGAAAGGCCCTATATCCAAATACATTTTGAGGTGCTGTGGGTTAGGACTTCAACATATGAATTCTGAGGGGATGTAATTCAGCCCATAACATCTAGAAGGATCTTTTCAGGTGGCAGGGCCTTTGTGGTTCTAGGATGCCTCTGAAAGATACCAACTAGATATTTTTAAAAATATGACAATTCCTAATGAGATAAGAGAAAGAATTAAGGGCAGAGGTCATTATAAAGGAAGCAAGACTTGAGCTCTTAAGGATGGGAAGGATTTGGATATACAGAGGAATAAGAGGCAAGTATCTGAGTCAGAGGTGTGGACAGGGGGCTTAGGAAGAAAGAGCGAGTTTAAAGTGAGCATCGTGTGTTTGTGGAGCAATAGAGGAATCTTTGTGACAAAAATAGAGAACTTACATGCAGAGAATAGTGGGGAATTGGTTGGCTAGGACAGCTGGAAATACATTATGTCTGGGACCTTTCACGTCAGCTGGGGACGATTAGCACTAATAGGGTAGAAAATGAGATGGTAACGTCATTGTGGGGAGAGAAGTGAAATAATGAACATGGCTTCTAAAGATAAGTTTGTAGGGGATTTCAGGGTGGGTGGGAGGAAGGAGTGAGGCAGGCCAGAGAAAAGGCTGTCCAACCATCTGCATGCAAAGTAATTGAGATCTCAAATTCAAGTGCCTAAAGGGCAGGGCAGAAAATACAAATGTTTAAAATACAATACAAATGTTTAAAATACAAATGAGTGGCTGAGCTTCCTTAGTCAGAAAGCCCCCTTCTCCCCTACCTTCCCTTTCCCCCTGCCCAGCAGGGAGACTTTGGAGAGTAGGGAAGCAGATGTCCATTTCCCCAGCTGGTGAAGGGACAGCCCTTGTATCAGTCAGTAGTTCTCCAGAGAACCTGAACCAATAGGATATATAGATAGATTTATTCTAAGGATTTGGCTCCCATGATTGTGGGGGCTGGCAAATTTAAAATCTGTATGGCTGGGCAGCCATACAGGCCTGAGACTCAGGCAGGGTTTCTATACTGCTGTCCTGAGGCAGAATTCCTCCTTCACTGGGAAACCTCAGGTTTGGGTGCTAGAGGTACAACAGTGAATAAGGCCTCAAGGCCTTCAACTGATTGGATGAGGCATATCTACATTATGGAAGGTAATCTCCTTGATTTAAAGTCAACTGATTATAGATGTTAATCTGACCTACAAAATACCTTCATAGCAACATCTAGACTAGTGTTTGGCCAAACAACTAAGCACCATAACCTATCCAAGTTGATGCATAAAATGTAACCATCACAGGCCCCAAGCAGAAAGGTGTGGACCACATTGGGGCCATGTTTTTTTTCCAGAAACTCTGCACCCCCTGCACTCTTCTTTCCCCACCAGCCACAATGAGAGGGTGGGGCTGGCTGCTTTGCTTGGGCCCTGGCTCTTACGTGAGCTGAGAGGCTATTCCCAGTGCATATGCCTATATGAGGATTCATTTGAGGAAAAGCAACTATTCTCGAGTAAGGCCAGGCCCAGGATTCTCTACTCTGATACCAACAACATGCTTTGATGTTCTTTCTTCTTAGCCCAGCTGGAAGGTGGTCCCAAGAACATTGAAGCTTTTAGATTTGAGCAGGACAGTCAGATACTGAGGTGGTCCAGGTGGTTATCCCTCCTCTGTATCTTTCTGATGGTGCGAGAGATATGTTGTGGTGGTTAGGTTTATAGACTTTGGTCTTAGAATGACTGGACAATGTCTCCAAGGACTAAGGTCTTGATCCCAGGGAAGCCCCTTGTCTTCTTTGTGTCTCAGTGTTCCCATGTATAAAATGGGGGTGCAATAATACTATCCACTTCAGAGTATTGTTAAGGATCAAACAAGACAATGGCTTATGAGAAACTTAGCACAGTGCATGACACATTAGCAGAGTTCACCATGTCAGTGGTCTTCTTTAAGGCACACACTGGAGTGCACTCCGCTGTCCCCCTTGAAGTTAACTACAGCCACCTGCCTTGCTTTGGTCGTTGAAATGCAAGCCAAAGTGATGTGTCTCTTCTGGGTGGAAGCTTTAAGGGCCAGTAGGTAATTTGCCACCTTCCCTTCTCCTGCTGTGGGGACAGTAGAAGCATGTGTTGTGATGAGATGGATCATCGGTCAGCTAGGAGCCCAGGGTAGGTGGATGACTGGGGCTCCCAGCCATCTGCACTGAGCAGGTAGCCTGAGCTAGAAGTAAACTTCTGTTGTCTTATAAGCTCTGAGATGCTGGGATTGTTTGGTGCCACAACAACCCATTCCTGTGTATGTATATACATACATCAGGTGTTCAGTAAATGGTAACTGTTGGGATTGCACCCTCTTCCTTTTGCTTTCTCCCTCAGTGGTGCTGAGCAGTGATGAGATGGATGAAGTCATTTGTGGCAAATGCTATTTTGGATCCATCAGCTGGCATATAGGACATGCCACCCGTATAGCTGATATTGTACTTCTATCCTTCTCTCCTTATTAGTTTGAAATTGAAGAATTGGGATTGAACACCAGAGACCTGTCACTCAGTTTCCTTTCTAAAACTCACCTTTTTTGTCTATGAAATGGCTATGATCGTCTTGTTTTCTACCTTTCCCAGGACTAATTGTATGATTGGGCTGTGTATACTATGTGCTAAGTACATCCCCCCACAATTTACTATTAGTGGGCTTCCTTTCCTACTTCTTTAGACACATGATGTGTAACTATTCATTTCCTGCCCTACAGGATCTTGGAAACAAAGACCTCAACAGGGATAAAATTTACTTGATTTGTCAAATAGTCCGAGTGGGGAAGATGGATCTCAAGGATACGAATACAAAGAAGTGCACGCAGGGACTGAGGCGGCCCTTTGGGGTGGCAGGTAATGACACACTACACACCAAAACTTTTATCGAAGTGCATATTTTATATGGCTAAATTTTAAAGATTATTTCTTTCCCTCTCCTCCTTGCCCCCCCTCCCCCAATTTATACCAGACAGCTCCTAATACCTACATTTCTGGTGACTAAATCAAAATAATTGGTGACTAAGTCCAGATTTATGATGAAGGCAGTGAATAATGGATTCCTCGTGTCTGCAGCAGAGCACTGGGAGCATGGTGCTGTCTGAGCAGTTGGTGCCTTTGCTCCCCAGCATGGTGAAGAAGGAAGAACAGTACGAGTGGGATCTAATTATGAGGAGCAAATCATTTTTAAAAAAATATCCAGGACAGGAAATGCAGTTACACAGTATGAGTCACTGGCCACACATCTAAATTCCAGATGGAAGTGGACGTTTGGAGAATCGGTGTGACCAAATGAGGTTGCTTCCGAGCAACCTCACCTCCTCGTGTTTCTCCACCTTAGTTCTCTCTCTTGGGGTTTCCAAGACTTTATCATTCTTGTCCCACTTTTATGGTTTTTGTTAACTATAACTGGCATTATTGTTTACCTAATATAGTTCCTTTTAATTAGCCCACTTTAAGTTAAAGTACCTTTTTTTCTTAAAAGACCATTTTAAGACCTGTGGAAACAGCAATTTGATATGCCAGTTTTATGTCGTGTACCATTTATAATTCCTCTACATCATATCAAAACCCACTGTTTCATGTTCTTCCTTTCAAGATACCCTGATCTGTATTCACAAACCAGCTGGCTCTCCAACTAGCCCCCTGGCACTGCTTGCAAAGTGGGAGGGCGGACAAGTTAGCTTATAAAGAGCTAACTCGTTTTTTTTAATCAGGCATTGTTGCTAGCTAGCTAACTAGGTGACCTTGGGCAAGCACTTTCCCCAGGGCCTTAGTTTCATTATCTGCAAAATGAGAGACTTTGACCTGATTGATTTGTGCCCTGCTCTGAAATGCTGATTCTATATAAGGGATGCTCCTGACATCACAATGTCCCTTTTAGGACAGTAAGGGTCCTTCAACCTTTCCTCAAAGTGTGCCTTTGTCCCCAGCTGTAGTCTGCTTTCTCTTTTGGTTTTAGGTGACCACAATCTGGTGTAACTGAAAAGTTCAGGCATAGATTGCTTCAGGCATAGCTGGATCCAGGAACTCAAATTTATGTTTCACTATGTCCTCTTGCTGGCTTATTCTGAAGTTGACTGTCCAGTTAGTTGGCAAAATGTGGGCCAATCCAAGCTTGAATCCTACCAGTTTAGTAATCCAGGGGAAAGAAAACACCCCTTTCCCATGAGTTTTAGTAGAAGCCCCAGGAGCATGAGCATAGGCCACATGCTCATCCCCTTAAGCACTTACTCTGGGCAGGGGGATGTGGTCCTCAGATTCTCAGGTCCTACAGGGAGTCACTGTGCTTGGGTTCTGTAGGCATGGTGGACGTCCAATACATATATGTCAAATCCAAACCTACTTGTTTAATTTCGTAGCCATTGTTCTGATTCTCTCCTCTTGGCCTCTGCTAAACCAGTTTCTTGGATGTTTCTGTGGCTTGCTGACCTCCCAGCCTGCTTTTTCCAGAAGTGTTTGCCAGGTGCTGCACATTATGAACCCTTGCAGTCTGTGTATTGCTTGATGCTGGCTTGCTTGTCTTTTTAAACTTCCTGACCCAGCCTCTTGTACTACAATCTCATCCCATTGACATGGTATCCTGGGAGCAGGAGGGCATAAGTCATTAATAGATTTTTTCTCTTTTTTCTTTCCTTTTTCTTTTTGTTTGTTTGTTTCTAGTTATGGACATAACAGACATCATCAAGGGGAAAGCAGAGAGTGATGAAGAAAAGCAGCACTTCATTCCTTTTCACCCGTGAGAGATTTCCCATTTCTTTCCCTTCTCTTAAACCACACCCTTTCTCACTGAGGGCTGCTCAAAAGCAAAATGAACTGATTCTCTGAGTTGATGATAGCCTCGTGGGGCCTCCCAAGAGGAGGGCAGGAAGAGAACGATGATCTCAGTGCCAAGGCTCTTGAAACCAACCAGCTTTTCACCCATTCACTTATCAGGTGTTACTTATTCAACAGAGTTTGATTGAAAGCTGGCAGAGGGTTGGGCACTGTGCCAGGCATGGGGCATGAAGTGCTCAACAAGATAGACATGGTCCTGTCTTCATGGAGCTTATGTTTAGATGGGAGATTAGACAGATAATCAACAAAAGATTGATTAATTAATTACAAGTAATACAGGAACTACAACTCTGTCAAGCAACAGCTTATCAGCAACATATAACAGGGAATTATCACCTGGTTCTCATGGATAGAAATATTCATGATTTTAGAGGAGGGTAGTGAGGAGGGTAAATGTCCTTTTCCTGCTCTAAAAAGGAGTCTATTAGAAAGCAGGACCCCCAGTTTGAGAATGTTGTCCTTACTTTGTTACACCAAAGATGTCCAAAGAGAATGGAGTTTTGTTACTGGTCATGAAGTCAGTGACTCTAGTTAAGCTATGTGATTAGGACCGAGCAGGAACAGCTAGTCTTTGCCAACTTGGTGAACAGATGTTCCTTTTGAGGGCTTAGGAATCCTTACTTTCTAAGAGTCTTCTAGATTAAAAAAAAAAAAAAAAGGCCTCTACTTGTAAGAATGATATTTCCAGATGTCAGAGCCATGTTGCTTTGTGAAAAAGAGAAATCTGATTCTTGATGGCATATATGTTGTCTGAGCTGGCATGGGCAGGCTCGATTTTCACCTAAGGTGTATGGAGGGGCTGGGCAAATTTGTGGAGCACGTGGAACCTCAAGGTGGGGACCCCATGAGAGCACCATGCAAGCATTTTGTGCTTTCTTTTCCTTCCCAGAGTGACTGCTGAGAATGACTTCCTTCACAGCCTGCTGGGCAAAGTTACAGCCTCCAAGGGAGACAGTGGAGGGCAAGGTACAGTGCCACGATGTGCCGAGTGGGCTGGGCTCTGATTTGGGAGCTCTTGATTCTTTGGAAAACAGATCAAAATCATAAACCCTGGGAAACATAGCCTTCCTTCCAGACAGACCATTGTGAGAAATGGGAGCATGTGATCTATGGAAATGGAAACCACATCTCCTGAATCTGGGAGGCATGTCCTAGTGCCCAAACCACATCTCCTATGTGTCAGACACCTTCATAGACCTCCTTATTGGATTTAATTCTTCCCACAGTGCTATGAGATAGGTGGTATCCACCTCACTTCACAAAGGCTGGGTGGATGAATTTGACAGAAGCTGACGCTGCTGGAAGTAAGGAGTGGGATTCAAACCCACGGATGCCTGGCCCCAGAGCCCCTCTGCTTTCCACCTTCCTTCCTCCTCCTCCTGTGTTGGGTCACATCTGTAATTATTTCTCTCTGCTTCCAGCAGTCTCCTCCAGAAAGACCCCAAAGGGAGAGATGGTGGGAGGGTAAGACTGAGCACACCTTGAAGTTGGCTCTTCATGGTAAGCATTCCCTTCCAGGCCTCTGGGTGACCATGAAGATGCTTGTGGGTGACATCATTCAGATCCGCAAGGACTACCCACATCTGGTGGACAGGACCACTGTGGTGGCCAGGAAGCTGGGCTTCCCAGAGATCATCATGCCAGGTCTGGCCTTCCCCTGGGGTGGGGGGTGGTCTGGCTTGTCACAACCATTTTCTTTTTACAAAGTCAACTCCTTCCTTTTCAACTGCTTTTTCTCTATTTCTCTCCCTGAAGGCAACCACTGAAAATGATTTTTGTATATCCAAAAATCTTCCATACAGTCATGTAATGAACACAAGCACATAAATATATACACATGCACTTTTTTCCCCTCACAAATGGGATCACACTACATATGCTTTATATACCATTACTTTATATGCTTTATATAGTGTTCTGCAACTTGGTTTATCACTTAATAATTTATCATTGACATCCTTTCTACTTTACTACACATAGAATAGTTCTATTCTTTTGGGGAGAATATTGTCATTCTCTTAAATTTTTAAACTATTTTTTTTTATTACCAGAGGACTCAATGCCTGTTGTAAAATGTTCAAATAGCATGAAAAGGTAAAAAGTGAAATGTTAAAAGCTCCCTCAAACTTTTGTCTCCAGAAGTACCTGCTATTAAAATTGTCCAAACGTGTATATAGTAAAAGAAAAACAAAAGAAGATTATATAATAACACTGTTTTAGAACTTCCCTTTTTATCTTAAACCTGTCTTAGACTTGTGTCCACCACTGCTCTCGCCGATTTACTCCTTTCCATGGTGTATGGTGGTCCAACTGGGGGCCTGTGCTGTACCTGAACCATCAATTCCTTGTGCATTCCGCTGTGGGGTTTTCAATTCTTATTGCCCTCCCTCCATTCCTGAAGACCCTCCGAACCTCCTTCCTTTTTTTTAAATTTTTTTTATTTTTTATTTTTTTTATTTGCGAGAGAGAGAATGAGAGACAGAGAGCATGAGAGGGAGGAGGGTCAGAGGGAGAAGCAGACTCCCCGCTGAGCAGGGAGCCCGATGTGGGACTCGATCCCGGGACTCCAGGATCATGACCTGAGCCGAAGGCAGCCGCTTAACCAACTGAGCCACCCAGGCGCCCCCCTCCGAACCTCCTTCCTGACCCCATGTTCCTTGGACACTTGAAAAGTGACCTTATCTGCTTCAGCACAGTAAAAGATCTATGGCCAAGGAGCTTTCCTTTGCCTTCCCAGAAGGTGTCACTAGAGGATGGAAATTCAATAATTTTAATGGAGAGAAGAACAGAGCCAATTTTGACCATCCTACCTACCTTTTTGCAACTGATGTCCTAGCATTCCTCCATCCCCTTGTTACCTCCTTCTCCAGCCTCCCTGATGAGGAAACAATGCTTCTTTGAAATATGTCTGATTTTAATTTCATTAGTAGATGTCAAGGCAGGGCACTTGCCCTCCCACCCCCACCCCTGTGCCTTCTAGTAAGTGTCTCTCCTGCAGTGAAGATGCCAGCTCTTGTCTCTCTCTCCCTCTGCCTGCAGGGGATGTCAGGAACGACATCTACATCACTCTCTTACAAGGCGACTTTGACAAGTACAACAAGACCACCCAGAGGAATGTGGAAGTGATCATGTGTGTGTGCGCGGAGGACGGCAAAACGCTGCCTGTAAGGGACCCTGCTGCTGCTCTGGGTGCCCCGGCTGCCTTGGGTGCTTCTGCTCACGAAGATTTGCTTTTCCCATCCCAATCTGCTCTCTAAATGCCAGGTGCCTTCGGGATGGCCTTGAGTAACGTGATCTACACCTTTAGAGCTTGGTTTGCACACTGGTCCATAGTAAGACCTTGTGTTAATTTGGTCTTTACATCAGAGCAGTTTTTTGTTTTGTTTTGTTTTGTTTTGTTTTTTAATGAGAGAGAGAGCATGAGGAGGGAAGGGTCAGAGGGAGAAGCAGACTCCCCGCCGAGCAGGGAGCCTGATGTGGGACCCGATCCCGGGACTCCAGGATCATGACCTGAGCCGAAGGCAGTCACCCAACCAACTGAGCCACCCAGGCGCCCCTCAAAGCAGTTTTTCAATGTCTGTTTCTCCCCTTTCATGATCCCTTCTTTTTCTTTCTTTCTTTCTTTCTTTCTTTCTTTCTTTCTTTCTTTCTTTCTTTTTCTTTCTTTCTTTCTTTCTTTCTTTCTGTTTTCTTTCTTTTGCTTGGCCTTAGCTTAAAGGTCAGTTTTTTGCTGTTAAAATGTTGTTGTCATTGAAATCTGAGCTGGTTTATTCGGACAAAATCCATGGCAAGAAAAAGGATCAATACAGAGCCTTGGGCTGGTGTGGAGACTCAGGATGGCCTCAAAACAGACATTCCCAACACTTAATCCAACTCCCTAGTGCTCAGCTAGAAATTCTGGTGGAAAGCCTTATTCGTAAATTGGTCTCCAGAGGGCCAACACGGTGTATTCAAGAATGCAAAGCATGTTGCTATAAATATTTATACAGCATATGTCCTATACAATATTTCTCATGTGTGTTTACATTTATTTACTTATATTTCCTTTAAGGTTGTCAGCAATTGTGTCCAGTGTGTGGGAGGGTTCTACTTCTCAATTTCTCCTTTTGGAGTACCGAGCTGAAAATAAAATCAGCTCTCAGCAGCAGTTTCAGTGTGGGCAAAGATTCCTCTTAGGCCACAGTAGGTGATTAGATAGCACAGTGGGGTGGGGGCAGGAGTATTGATAAGTCATCTGCTCTAACCTTGGGGCCTGGGGTTCAGGCAGATTTTGCTACCCTCTACCTAAGAACATAACTAGCATTCACAGAGGAATTACTATGTGCCAGGTGCTGGGATAAGTACGATGCATTACCATTATTATTCCCATTTTTACAGAGGGGGAAACTAAACCTTCAAATGAAACAACTTTTCCAAGGTCGTAAAATTAGTACGTGGCAGAGATGGGGTTTGAGTCCAGGTTTCAGGCCCTCTTAAACACTTCATGATAATGCCCATCCATTAAAAAAAAAATCCTCCAACTTATTTCTCATTTCAAAAATGATGCTAATAGCCACTTCTTTCAAATTCTGGGAAGATTCATAATTATTTTTTGAATTTAAAGAAACCCCGTTGTGTTTTTATTGGTAAAGACTGGCCCCATTAATTACTATCTGGTTGAGCAAAAATCCAAGTGTTTAACTCATCCTCTTTGTTGGATTCTGAAAAGTAAAATAAGTGAAAGACACTTTGCTCAAAGGAACACAAAAGAAGAGCCGTGGGTTTTTATCTGAAAGGGAAATTGCATTTCACGAACGTATAGACCACTGCTTTGAAGTTATTTTTATCCAACTACCTGTTGGAGAACTTTTAAACCTCAGCTTCATTTTTAAAAACACTGATAGCTTGCCTTCATTGTTGCTGAAGGACAAATTAGAAGGAACAGTTAACAGGAAGGCAGGTGTCTTATCTCACTTCTGAACCATTCTTCCTTCTACCCCTCTGCCACCTTTTCCAGTCATATCCTACCAGGCTGAGCAGACACACTCTTCAAAGATGAATATATAAGCAGGTATTCTGGGGGCTGAAATGGAGAGATAACTATGGGGCATGGTGGTAATTTGCAGTTTCCTCTATTAGGCAAGGTATGGGGGAGTTCAGTTGACTGACTATTGAAAATTGCGAAGGAAGCCTGTGGGAGGCTGCTCTTTCTTTATTTGCAGAAATAAATATTACTGCCTAATTAAGTGTCAGGCAGCACACTCAAACACTTGATACTGGTGGGTTCCTGTGGGGTATCTATTTCTTTTCCTGCTCCAGGTGTACACTGCCCTTGGCAGAGCAGGGCCAGAGGACAAAGTAGGTTACACTTATCCTTGGCTCACTTTGGGCTCTCAGCAACCTTGTTCAGGAGGGGCCATAGCAGAGAAGCTAATGGGTTAGGCTCTGGGATCAAATAGATCAGGTTCAAATCCCAACCTCCCTTCCTAGTAGCTGTGTAATCTTGGGCAAGTTTTATTTGTCTGTAAAAGAGGAATCATCATCTCCTCTTGGGGTTGCAAATTAAACAAAATGGTACCAGTAAAGCACCTGGTTTGCAGTAAATACTCGGAAACAGGAAGGAGGGGTAACATTCAGAGAAGGCAGAGCAACTGGGCAGGAACCCAGGCAGTCAAATGGGCAATCTGATGTGGACAGCTGCCTGAAGCAAGTTTAAGGAGAAGTGAGAAGGCTTCAATGCCAGGCCTAGAAACCTCTGCTCTTCTGAGACCAGCTAGCTTATCGGGATAGAGCAGGACATGGAGAACAGGGTATTGTAGTGCTTGAGACCATGAACTCTAGGGCCAGGCAGCCAAGCTCAATTCCCAGTGAAGCCTTGATTAGCAGAATGACCTTGAACAAATTACATAATCTTTCTATGCCTACAATTTTCTGTCTGAATAGTAGGAGACCAGCAGTTGCACCTTGCTTTTGTGAACATCAAGTGAGGTGATCTACATAATAGGTGTTCATTAAAATTAGCCATTATTACTAAATAGGAATGGTAGTCTTCTGGCTTCATTCTTGCCTTATGGATGATGATTGGCATCTTCCCAGGATGTGGTCTTATAGGTATAGAACATTCTGGCTCTTAAAATGCATTTGCATCCATGGTGTCATTTGTCCCTCCAGTATTACTACCAGGGAAATAGGGCCTATGTGAGGAGCCTGATTTGAACTCCTGCTAAAGTGTGTCTACCAAAACCAAGTCAGCATTAAAGGCTAGGCTTTCCTGATTCCTACTCAGATTGTCTTCAATTGACCTGAAACTAATGAGGAATTCTTACTGTTAATTGGGGACCATAGGGGTGGGCAATGGGGAAAATTATTGAATAGGTTTACTAGAGCATATATAAATTTATATTTTCTCTAAAACTGGGCTTAGTCCCTGGTCATGATTCTTGACACATGTGGAAACATTCAATTTTATCTTTGGTTTGTTGAGGATGAGGGTCTTAGGTCTTTCTCAGAGTAATACTGAATCTTTTTTCTACAGCCTCGGGTAATCAAAAACTTTCATCAAGATAGTTTTGTGGGAATCAGTTGCTGCCATATAGCAATTTTACTTTTACCAGAGATATATGTGTATTTTCAGATTTTATGAGCCACATGGGATTCACTGGAGTTACAGAAACTCTAAGCCCATAAATGTCACTAGATATAAATCTTCGGAGGCTGGAAAGCATCTAGGTTGTTATGGAAGGAACACTAGACAAGAGAGATAGTGGGCCTGAGATGTATGCTCGCTCAGCTATCTTTTTGGGCAAGTGACTTAATCTCTCAGGGCCTCAGTTTACTCAGTTTTGAAATGGGGATAATAGTGGTGATCATTGGTGGTGGTTGTGAGGATTAGATTAAGTGAGGTAGTACGTGTAAAGGGCTCAGCATAATGCTGGACAAAAAGCAGTCTCTAAATGGTTAGAATAAGTTTGAAGGCATGTTTATAGTTCAGGCCTCAAAAATTTCTGACAGACTTCATCCCATTGAAAACCAAGAGATTGCCTTTCCTCATTTTTAGTTCACTGGTTATTCTCGTTTTTTTTTAAATTTTTTTAATAAAGATTTTATTTATTCATTTGACAGAGAGAGAGAACACAAGCAGGGGGAGCGGCAGGCAGAGGGAGAGGGAGAAGCAGGCTCCCCTCTGAGCAGGGAGTCCAACGTGGGGCTTAATCCCAGTACCCTGGGATCATGACCTAAGCCGAAGGCAGACGCTTAACCAACTGAGCCACCCAGATGGCCCAATTCTTGTTTTTTTTAGAGGTTAATTCTGAAAGGACACTATGTCCTTATTTTAAAATGGATTCAGTTTGGCTGCGAGTACCATCAATCATTCTTGCCTGACAGCTCAGAAGTAAAGAGGGAGAATTCCAGGGAGAGAGGCAGGATTCTCCTTCCCACAGTTAGCTTCTCTCATTGGGGGTCCTAGAGTGCTCGTACGTGGCCTGCTTTGGTCACTTAACCTGGTGGTGTGATGGTGGGGGTGGTGGTATCAAGGATCTGTTGGTGAATCTGATGGAATCTGGTAAGGAGCAAGGAGTCTGTCATCCTAAAAATGCCCAGAGGCACACAGTTTTGCAGTTTGGGGGCTGGGGGCTCCAAAACCAATCCTTATGTCCCTAGATCTCTAGAGACTGGAGGTAAAATTCTTAGGCCCTTTCTGGGAGACCCAGCTTAGATCTTGCTGGGGGGCCAAAGAACTAGAATTAACAGAGAGAGATAGAATTAGGGGCTGACAGACTCTGTTAGAAGATAATTTTCCTTGTTACTCTGAGAGTGTTTTTTATGGAAAACAATAAATATCCTATATAGGTATGCTTGCTCTGTGCTCATTCTCTGCTTGGAATATCTTTCCCACATTTTTGCTCAAAGCCAACTTGGAATCTTTCTTCAAGATCCTCAACTGTCATCACCTCCAAGAAATCTTCCCTGAATTGTCAGGCTGCACTTAAGGATCTCTTCTCTGTGCCCCATTGTAGTAAAGACATATGTCTGTCATCACATTGTGTTGTTCAGTGATTTGTCTGCTTATCTAATGATCCCTCCCCAAAACTGAACTCTCATGTCAGGTTTAATATCTGACTCCTGCCCATATCCCAGTGCTTGGCATGGGCCTGATACCAGAAGATGCTTGGTAATGGTGGGGCTCCCTCAGGCCCCTCTGCCCCTGTATCTGTCTGCAGCCCAGGCTCCCTCCCCTCACCCAGCTTTCCTGTTAGCATCAGAATCCATCAGAATGAGCTGCTGCTTGACTGATCTGAGCCTGTTTGTAAACTTTGTGCACATTCAGATTTGAGAAACAAATAGGATTAATAAGACTGGCAGCCTGCAGTAACTCCAAGGCTGGTTACCATTTACAATAAGCAGTCATGTCAGTGCCTGGTGTGCTCCAATGGTTTCCAGAATGCAAGTAATAGAATTTCTGTAGTTAAGCAGCTGTCACTCCTGGGGCCAGGGATGTTCATGTATAAATCTGTAATGTAGAAGGGTATCTGGCGGAAGGGTTGGTAAAGGGAGGATTTTCCCAGACCCTAAGGCCAGTGTTGGCCTTGGGGCTGAAATTGCCCAAGCACAGAAAATGGCAATTCTGTAGTGTTTTTTCTCTTTGTTTTTCTTGGGTCAGAATGCAATTTGTGTGGGAGCTGGGGACAAGCCCATGAATGAATATCGGTCTGTTGTGTACTATCAAGTCAAACAACCACGGTGGATGGAAACAGTCAAGGTAATAATAATAATAATAAATAATAATAATGATAGAGCAAACACATATCTAGGGGCTCTGAGACACCTCCCTAAGATCTGAAGCAATACCCTAGTGTGTGTCCAGTGGTGTGTCAGGCAGTGGAAATTGTGGCCCAATGGGTGAGTACCCTGGTTCTCTTGATCCCCCTTCACTGACCTAGAATCAGCCACTATAGGATTGTCAGATGGTCTTCTTGCGCACAGTGCCCAGCCCACCAAGCTGTGTCATTCCACTCAGCAGTGAGGAGCGACAGAGCTTGCAAGTGAACGTGAGGCTATAAAAGCCCACTTAATGCATGAAAGATACCATCTTGGGAGGGTGCCTGAGACAAAAGTGGCATTAATCACAAATATTCGCATTACCAGATTGTCACACAAAGCAGAAGGGAATATCGTGCATTGGAAGAAGAGTTTGGAATTAATTCAGTGAACAGTGGAGCTTGAACACAGCTTCAAATGTCTCTGCCTTGTAATTAGTAGCAGTCTTTATTCACCCTGTGCTCTGAACCCAAACACAAGATGTTCACATAACTTCCTTTTCTGAGACAGCTCTCCAAACCTCAGTGGTTCTTGCCTGGTCACCTATATTCCCATTTTCCTCAGTGGGTCTCCCTGAACTCACTGCACTCATTCCTTGCACTCACTCTTCAAAATGATGACCTGCCCAACTTGGGGGTCAGAAAGCTATTGGACCAAGTTGGTCTTCTCTTTTCTGTGTTCTCTTGTACTCTAATTATTTCTCTTTGCTAGCCCTTGTCAAGTGGTTGTTAAAATATGCGTCTCCCCATGTGAACTGTGAGCTTTTGGGCTGCAGGGCCTCTGCCTGGCATCAGCAAGGCCAGCGTTTCACCTGACTGTGGCTTGGAGTGGCCATTTGATTCACAATGAAAGAAAGAATTGGACTGCAGTCACCCAGGAGGCTCTCAGTTCCTTTGTTCTGTCTGAATTCACAAATGGTGGACCTCTTCAGGCTCAAATTTCATTCTCTGGAGCAGAAAGTGTCCCAAAGTATACAACTGTTTGGCTTTTAATAGTCATCTATACAGTGTAAACTTGTCCCTTTTAAAAATCAAGGTGGTTTCCTCACAGGTAGCTAAGCTTCTCTGTTTTGGCTTCAATTGCATGTTACAGAGAGAGCTGTGAGGTGTCAGGAGGTGGGCAGTCCAGAGCCAGGACTGATGGCCCTCAGTTTAAGGTGTGACAAACCACCCACTGGACAGTGAAATTGGGGTGACTGAGGCCTGAGTGATTTGGCTCAGTGTCTTCAGAGGTAAAAGCATCTGGGTATCTGCCCAGCCAAGGATGGGAATGAGCCCTAAGATTTTCTGAAATATTATTGGAGTCAAGCATTTTTATGAATTTGCATAAACAGGAGCTCTCAAGCATGCCCCCTAATGACCACTGTTAATTTGCTAAGCCCTGCTGCAGTTGCCAGAACTCCTGGAGTGTGTAAAGAAAATGTGCACTGTGCAGTTTGCAGTGCATCAAATCCTGTGCTTAAGTTATGTGACTTTTATATCAATTTGGGGAGATTCATTTTAACCCACTGTAATTTACGGACCTCTTTTCATTGGCTAGGACTGCAATTTGCCAAATGGATTACATTTGGTACTTTATTTTCTCTTCATAGCTAGTTCTTATGTAATTTATTTACAGTTCATCAGGCTTGATGGATGGGTAATAAATCAGCATGCAGCTCTCTCAGTTAAATGGTCAGGCTGCCTTTTGGGGCGTGGGCTGGAGTGGGGAGGGCTGTTTAACTCATTGTCTTCTGAGCTCTGGTTTCTGCCTACCAAGGTGGCTGTCCCTATTGAAGACATGCAGAGGATCCATCTGAGATTCATGTTTCGACATCGGTCATCCCTGGAATGTGAGTACCTGACCAAATGGCATCTCTGAAGCTCCCCTCAGGGGACAGGAGTGGGATAACTGGGTGGTCCATGTGTCATTTTTTTTTCCTGACCTCACAATGCTATTTCCAGCTAAAGATAAAGGAGAAAAGAACTTTGCCATGTCCTATGTGAAGTTGATGAAGGAAGATGGGACCACTCTGCAAGATGGATGCCACGACTTGGTCGTCCTAAAGGTACCATATGTTGGAATTAACTCTGCAGTGAGTGGGGCTCAGGAAGCCAAGGGAAGATGGCAGGATTGCTTAGTGGTTAAAAGCAGGGACCACAGAATCACACACACCAGGGTTCACCAGCTGTGTGGCCTTGCATGAAGTCTTAATTTCTCTGCCTCTGTTTCCCCCTCTATGAGCCCTCAGTGAATAATTGTTGAGTGAGTATCACATGAGACCGCTCATATAAACACAACCGTGATGAGTACATAGCACCTTGAGTAAGTGGAAAAGGTTATTGTTACATAAAGAATGGGCTATTGACTCTGGAAAGACCCCTGTGGGATGTATAGAAGACCAGCAAGAAACATTTGAGAGCTGGAAACTAATGGAAACATATCAGAATCTGGGGTCCCAATCCTGCTGCTGACTAAATCTGGAGTCATCTCACACATCTTTCTGAGTGTCCGTTTCCTTTTTCTTCAGTGTGATGGTAATATTTATGACAAACCAGCGAGATGACCTATGTGGAAGGGCTATGTATAAAAGGGTATACAGATATCGGCCATCATTATTTTACATCATGAGACTTGTACTGCTTTCGAGAAGTAGGAAGTGTTTATCTTGATCTCACCTGCTTGCTTTCCCACAACCCCTCTTGTGGCAGCGGAATGCGTATGCTAGCACCTGGCTGGAGACAAAACATGTGCTTGTGAAGGAGGACAAGGCTAAGCCACAGGCATAGGGATCCAACACTTGTCCTTGGCTTTCTCAGCCTTGGGGCTGAAAACACCCTTTTGCCTATGGTCTCCATGGCAAACACTGCCTCATCGAGGCTTCATCACCGGCACTCTTTCTCTGAGTCTCTCTGGCTTTTCTGGAAACCCCCACCCCCTTCTTCTGCACAGCTGCTCTCTTCTCATTTATGGCACATCAAAGTAGTTCTTGCCTTGAAAGCCATTCTTCCCCAGTGGACTGTGAACTCATGGTGGGGCGGGGGGGGGGGGAGGGGAAGGCGGGGGAGGGTGGTGGTGGTGGCAGAGGTCCAGTTATAGTCAGTTTGCAATGTACTCATTTTTCTTAAGACTCAGTTTCCTCATTTGTAAACTGACAATGATAGCAGTGTCTACAACAGTGACGATAGCAGTTGTGAGGTTTAAATGAAACGAACCAAGGCATATAAAACACTTAGAGCAGCATCCAGTACTGAGCGAGGGCTCAATAAACATTAACTCCTGTAATGCCTATCTCTAACCATGCATTTCCACATGCCAAGGGACTTAGGTGTCTCTCAACTCTGCTAAGAGCTCTATATGCATTATGCCCATTTAGTCTGCCCCAGATTTCTGGGAGCTAGGTAATATGGTTAATCTTCAGTTTAATCATGAGAAAAATAACACACAGAAAGACCAAGCATAGGCAAGACTTGTGAATGGTAGAACACGGTCTAGATCCCAGGACTTTCAGATTTTAGTGCCTTTGCTGTTAACTTTTCCTTTAAGCTGATTCCTTATCTTGCTGGTAGGCATGTGTTAAGACCTCAAGAAATTTAGGGGCACCTAGGTGGCTTAGTCAGTTAAGCATCCAATTCTTGATCTCAGCTCAGGTCTTGATGTCAGGGTCATGAGTTCAAGCCCCACATTTGACTTCATGCTAGGTGTGGAGCCTACTTTAAAAAAAAAAATCTCAAGAAATTTAGGAGGAATCAAAATGGCCTGTCAGGGAAATCTTCAATTCCCTTCGTGCTGTTAATGAAGTCCATAGAGCCTTCAACTGGTTGGTCAATCCCTTTTCCACTAATGTAACTTTGGGTTCTTGCCTGTTTTGTAGAAAAATAACCCTACCATACCAGCTGTTTATTGCTTCTCTGATGATTTTTTCTGATTCTGACTCTCTGTACCTTACAATATGTAAGCTGGCCACTGCAAGCTCTATGTGGCATTGGGCATGTACCCCTGGCTGGGGGAAGTAACCACAGTATTGTTTCCAGGGGGAGAGTAAGAAGATGGAGGATGCCAGTGCTTACCTGACCCTTCCTTCTTATCGACACCATGTGGAAAACAAGGGGGCCACCTTGAGCCGAAGCTCCAGCAGTGTTGGGGGTCTCTCCGTCAGCTCCCGAGATGTGTTCTCCATTTCCACTCTGGTGTGTTCCACAAAGCTCACCCAAAACGGTAATGAAACCATCAAGAGTTGTATGTATGTAGTGTGCATGTGGATGTGTGCATGGGTAGGCCCAGCGAGGTCCTGAATGGACATTTTAAGCCAAGAATAGTAATTCTGCTTGCCTGGACTCTATTTCAGTGGGCTTGCTGGGTTTGCTGAAGTGGCGTATGAAGCCTCTGCTGCTACAGGAGAACTTAGAGAAATTGAAGATCGTCGATGGAGAGGAAGTGGTGAAGGTCAGTGGGGCTTCATTTTGTTTGTCTTCATCCACCAGTGACAGAGCTTTAAATCATGGGTAGCTCTGGGGGGGCAAATGAAGTGTTGAAGGAGATGGCACTTTTTCTCTAACAGTGGGACACAGTGTCCCAAATTGCCATGAGAAACCTTTACTGGAAATTCAGAGGCTGATTTGGTTCAATGATGCTGAATGTTGAGTGGTAGAAAACTATGGTTGTATTCAGTTCCTGGAAGGAGATCAGCCTGGGTGTAGATCTCAGCTCAACTGCTTGCCAACTTTATGTGATAGTATTGTGAATATAACACATTTTGTAGAGTGGTTGTGAGCATTCAAGGCAATAATATTTAAAAATTACTTAGCATAGTCTCTTACACAAAGTACATAACATTGAACTAAACATGTAAATCATAGAGAGTTCAATAAATAGTAACTATTAATTATTTTTGTTGGTATAAGTTGCTGTAATAGTTTGATGTCTTAGTACTACTTACATGTTACTATTAGAAATAAAAAGTATTCTTAGTTCCTGCTGCTTACAGAGTATTATGCATTATACATGAAAGAGGGAAAGACATCAGGGCTCACATTTTAAGTGAAACAAGCAGAAAACAATACAAATGTCAGATGTATTGTTGTGTCCACATGGTGCTAGAAAATATAGTGTCTGAGGTGTAGATTTAATTAAGCAACCCTTCTCTCCAGTTCTATGGGACAAGTGTTTCCCATAGGTCTTGGTGATCTTGTTTCCATCAGGAACTTGGTCCAGGTAGAAACTCTGAGATTAAACATCTTTATTTGGTAGATGTGTGTTTTCAGGAACTATAGGAAATATTGACCCATCCCTTAGGAAGGGAGACTATCATATTTTAGTTAATTTTCCATACATGGAGGAGCAATGGTAGAATTTTCAGATCATTGCTTTAAGTGTGCACTATTGACCCACCTACCTGGTTTAGCAGTAGTGGGAAAATTCTTTCACAAGGTCTATCACCTTTGGGCAGCTTGGAGAAGCATCTGGGGGGGAATTACATTATCTCCACCTTTGCATTCTTTTTTATTTTTCTAAAGAAGTTTGTTACTGAAGTATATAATACAGTAAAATATGTACAGAGCACTTACCCTAAGAGTATAGTTCCCTGTATTTTTACACACTTATATATCCATTTACCCACCCTCTAGATCAAGATACAGAACACTTTTGGAATTGCAGTATGTTCCCTCATACCCCTTCTCAACCTCCCCTATGCTGACTACCATGATAGATTTTTTTTTGCCTGTTCTTGAATTTCATAAAAATAGAGTAATAAATAATGTACATTGTTGTGTCTGACTTATCTTACTCTACACATTCTCATGGGGGTTATCCTCATTGTTGCATGTAGAAGTAGTTTGCTCTTTTTTTTTTTGAATCACTATGAAGTATTCTGTAGTATTAAAATGCCACCATATGTTCATTCATGCTGTTGGTTGACAATTCGGTGCTCCAAGTTCTGGCTCTTGTGAAGAAAGCTCCCTGGACATTTTGAATGCAGAGTGTGGTGGATGTGTACTCTCATTCTCTTGGGGATACACTGAGGAGTGGGATTTCTGGGTCACCTGCGCTGTTTTTTAATGTGACCTTCATTATTTTGTCCAGTTTCTCCAGGATACTCTGGATGCCCTCTTCAATATCATGATGGAGCATTCTCAAAGTAATGAGTATGATATCCTCGTCTTTGATGCTTTGGTAAGAAAGAGGGGAAAGATGTTTAGTGACATTAGACATCAATGTCTGTCTCACTGTGAGAACACTGAGAACTTGTGGCCTTTGTGGTCCTTTTCATGAAATTTTTTGGAGGCATTGTAACTTTCAGCAACCAGAGCAATGAATGAATGAGCCGCTGGGGTTTTTGTTTCTTTGTTTGTTTCTAGTTCATTTGAAAGCATGGCAGGGTGAGTAAAAGGGGAATTTTATTTTATTTTTTTTATTCTTATGTTAATCCCCATACATTACATCATTAGTTTTAGATGAAGTGTTCCATGATTCATTGTTT